CTGTATAGAGTATACACAGTGGGCCTGAACCAAAAAAGGTTGCATGAAAATGACACCAAAATCGGGCTTCGGATCTTTAAAGATTTACATTAAGGGAGTTGAGATCAAGTGAAAACAAAATCGCATCAGATCCTCAATAAATATAACGGCCAATTGTTTGTGGCGTTCATATTGGTCTAGAAAAACTCAAACAACGTAAATAATAAAAACAAAAAAACAGCAAATTACAGTTGCAAATAAACTTTAATAGGTTTTAATTATTAAATGAGAAAAATAAATTAATTTTAAATATGTCGAGATGAAAATTCGACCACCGCTTTTTTAAGCCGGTCTAGATAGTTAGGATCTTATATTGAATTCATTTTATATCGTTCCCAATACTTCAAAAACTCACACCGATTCTCCTGCCTGTTCCGAACAAAGACCCAAACCGAAACCATCAGGTAATATTTCAAAAAATGCAGCGAATGCTGTATATGTTCCAGATACACATGAATTTTCAAGCTCTCGGATATGCCCACAGCCTCAAACGCTTTCCGAAAAGCCTTAATCCGCTCATCAATTTCAAGAGAGACAATCCCAGATAGCACAAGATGTCCTGAGGACATCCGGTTTAGATCCTTTACAGACGGTCGCGACCAGAAAACCGATGGACGTACTGAGGCCTAGGCCGATGGACGTACTGAGGCCTAGGCATCGGTTTTCTGCCTGCGACGAAAGTTGATGATACAATTTGATATATCACCCTTTATAAAGGGTCTAAGTGAAAAAAAATTACACCTTGTTTTTTATTAAAAATACTCTTTAATCAAGCACGATAAAAGATTTAAAAAAAAGATGTCCATTTTTTTTACTTATATAATTATAATTACGACCCGCGTTATGTTACCCCGGTACCGTTTAGCCATGTTCTAACCGAAGTCGGCCAGAATACGGCATGCCGATGCAAAATCCTTCGGCTTGCCCTAGCCGGCCCGCTTACGGCTGGAATTCGGCCTGCCGCGGCATAATCGATACATCTCACGGCTGCTTACGCACACGAGCTAACTATAAATAGCGATTGGTTGCAATATTTAGTTGGAAGTGTGTGTCCGTAATGGCATAGCTGAACATTAATTGTTTGGAGTCCCCATCTCCATCCTCATCTGCTCAGTAACGAATAATGTCTAGCTAGTCGAGTGTGTTAAAAAAATCTCTTGCGATTCATGAATCTGCAGAGAATTTCAGGACTGAACTTATAGGATATACCTCTCCAGGACGTCTGTAGGCTTTTTTATTATAATAAAACTATGTCCTAATTTGGTCCTCATATGTCCCGAATTGGACAGCTTGGGGTCAAATACGGACGTCCTGAGGACATCTGAAACAGTCTATTTCGGAAGTCTGTGGACGTACTACGAACGTACTTTTGCAGACCCCGGACATCCTGAGGACGTTCGGGTTGTCCTGGGTGGAAGTCCTACGAACGTCCTACGAACGTACTTGTGCTATCTGGGATGTTCGTAGAAAATGAGCTTTCGACGACTTTATTCATTGCTTTGAACGCCGACCGAGACACCGACACGTATTTCATAATTCCAAATACACCTACTTACACTAAATTTCTGGATCCAAGAGCATATCTGCTTCTTTTAGTAGCTTACGGCATGCATTCCCTTCGAAAGTTTCGCCTTGATAGTTCTTTGCAACCAATTTTAGTTTCTTTGGCCACTAAGAGCCCGATCGCGACCTAATAATGGTACCAATCCATTCCAAAATAAATGGTTAACGTAAGATGTGTAGCTCTGGAATAACACATTTTTCTATGACGTAGACTTCATCATCCTCTTGAAACAAAGGGGGATTTATTGGGCTATGGCAATCTCTGGCAAAATTTTTATTTTTTCCTAATGATGAGCTATTTCTTAAGTCTCCATAGGTTTTCAACTTTTCGCTGATATTTCTTGAACACAAGAATCATTAATTTCTCTAAAGCTTTCAGAAGAAAAACATGTTTCTGTATATTTTTGGCTCCCACCTTCGTGGTAAAAATATTTTTTGAGCCGTGAAGTCCATTTTCTTTATCAATTACTTGATTCGAGTTTCGAGTGTGTCCTCGGCCCTTAATCAAATTTTCGTGTCCCTTGAACCTCGCATTTGAGCAAATGTAACAATTACACTCTTCATAGCTTCTAGTGGTTTTTGGTAAACGTAAGACTTCAAAATTTGGTATGATCGGTAAAGGTCTTTTCATAACATTTTTCTCTCGATATGTGAGGGCAAGGCGACAAGTGGTGGAAATAGCAAGAGGAAAGCAGGTATCCATTATTATTTAAGAATTTTTGCAGTAACGTTTGCGTTCTTTCATTAATTAGAAATTTTGAAGAATTAGTTTTTCCAAAAATAATCTTTCTTCCGCAGGCAGCACATACTTTTTTCTGTTTTCTTCATGGCTACATTTTATTTTAGAGTGAGTTTTCATTTTTTTTTTTTAAATAAAACGGGTTAAAAATCACAACAATCCAGACACAAAACTAATTAATAAGAATTAACTTTGACATTTATTTTCATGGCCTCCATATGAGTATAATCTAAAAGAATTTTATAAACATGGGGAACAATAAAAAATCAATACAATTAAAAATTATGATTTTTACCGAACTCAAACAAGAATTGGCTATTTTATCCATTGAGGATCAGGTGCGATTTTGTTTTCATTTGATCTTAACTCCTTTAATATTAGTCTTTAAAGATCCGAAGCCCGATTTCGGTGTCATTTTCATGCAACCTTTTTTTGGTTCAGGCCCACTGTGTATATGAGCACATTAAATGCAAAACTCGGTTTTTGCAAATTTTTAAAAAATATATATTTTATCCACAGACCAACAAGGTCTGTGATTTTATCCTATTTATGTACATTACTGCACTGCCTATAGCATAACTATACAGTCTGAGCCAAGAAGTTTATAGTCCATACAAGTTCTATTTTAATATACGTAGGCATAGATTAATAACCAACGTACTAAAGTTCCTTTTTTAATCGGAATTTGATACATTTGATTAAGTTGGTATTGTATGTTATTAACATACAATTAACATATGTATATGTATATACAGCGGCGGCTGGTGGATTTTGGGCACACCCATATCTCAGTTATTAGACATGGGACCCACATCAAATTTATATGAGTTTATAATGACATTATATAGACAAGTTCTGCGCAAGCAGAATTTAAATTGATGTTTGCGAAAAAAAGTTAGTTTTTAAGTGTGCCCCCCAGCCTCCTGCTCCCCCAAATTAAGATAATTCAAATTAAAGTGGTACAATATTTAATTCACTGCAGTTTATCATCAAATTTCAAATTTTATTAAAAAAATTCAAGTATTACAGATTTAATACCATTTCTATTTTTTTTTTAAATTTAGTTAAAGAAATAATAAAAATTTAAAATGGTATAAAACCTGTAATTCTTGAAATTTTTTAATAAAATTTGAAATTTGTCTATAAACTGCAGTGAATTAAATATTGTACCACTTTAATTTGAATTATCTTAATTTGGGGGAGCAGGAGGCTGGGGGGGCACACTTAAAAACTAACTTTTTTTCGCAAACTTCAATTTAAATTCTGCTTGCGCAGAACTTGTGTATATAATGTCATTGTAAACTCATATAAATTTGATGTGGGTCCCATGTCCAATAACTGAGATATAAGTGTTCCAAAATCCACCAGCCGCCATAACATATAATATACTTTGGTGTTTTTAATATTTAAAATTGGTACTTCTGTTTAAGCCCTTATAAGGGACTAATGTCAAAGTATTTAAAATTAAATTTTAAATACTTTGACATTTGTCTTTCATCAAATGTAAAGTTATTGCATTTTTAACAAGTTTTATTTGACATTTTAAAATTTATAAACATATTCTTATAATTATAACGTAACCACAATTATATTCTCCACTAAACTCAATGTAGCCAATTATAAATTTAGGGTCTCTAAAATTCTAGAATTCTAGGGACCCTAAATTTATAATTGTTTTTTTTTTAATAATTAATTAATTAATTTGACAACTAAAAACCCAAACTGAATTTTTTTGCAAAAAACGTCAAATGGATTTTAAAAAGCGTTAAATGTATTTCAGAATAGTAATGAAAAGCTAGATACTAGTTTATTCAAACTTTTTAAAATATTTTCAACTTTTTAAATGTTTTTTTAAAAGACCAATTTAACACATATTGGGACACTTTATTTGTATATTATACCTATAGGTATAATATATATCTATAGATATTATATTTCGTGTTCTTGGTATGTACAGAGTGTTTGAAAAAAAATGTAGTAGTAGTATATCTACTATGGAGAAAGGCATGCCTGCAATAACTAGCAAAATGCGTTTTTTGTGCTATGGTATGGCTATGGGCATTTTTTTATCTTAATTCAACTCAGAAATGCAATAAAGTACTGCTTTTAATACAACTTTATTAGTTGTTATAACGGTATAGGTACTGTATTAAAAAGCAATCACTTTTAGTTCGTTTTGTTCAACTATATCTATATCTATTAGATAATATATTATATGAAAAAGTGTAGGTTTAGAACTATAGAAACAATACCTACTATAGTATCATTAATAATACCTACTATTATAGTTATTACGTTAAGAACATGCCCAATATGCATTGTTAGTTGCCTATCTATATTAGTTCTAGCCATCTATTATACAAAACAAAAATATTTTCCTGATTACAGAGTTCTACACATAAAATGCATTAAGTTAATAGCAGTTTGGCTAGGTGGCAGTATACTTTCAACTTTTTATGTAAATTTAAAGATGTAAATCAATTTTTTTAATAAAAATGTGTATAGATACTAAATAAAAATAAAATTTTATTACTAACCTAATGGAAATTGTAAATTTTTCAGGGATTCAATATTTTATGTTATTATTTTGTACGCCATCTGCCAGAGTTTGGTCAAAGTTAAAGTGCGTAATATTGCCGCCAGAGGACCTGTGCGAATATCGACAGAAAAAGAAATTCATTGGCAGTTGAAAATTCGCTCGTAAAGTGTCCTTGGATAATAAAGAATTGCTCATTGAAAAGTTTTGCAAAACAATTTTTAGTCAGCTGATGGTCGAATTGCGTTTTTGGCCAATATGTCTAATTTTAGTGTGCGTTGCTAGCAAACAGTGTTGTGCAAAAAACAAAAAACTAAAATGATAGTGTTTAACTGTGTTTATATTTATCAGCTGGGAGAATGACAGTGATGATACGATGAAAGAGAAAAATAATTTAGGAAAATCGCCATAAATTGTATGTCATCCAGTTTCTTTCTTCGTTTTTTCTTTTCAATTCAGCTAGGTATTCATGCTTTAAATAGTATCATTAGAGAAAATAAATTTCTTTGTTTACCAACCCATAGAGCAATGTAAACACTAGTGATTGTGACGTCTAATTTATTTTTACTAATGTTCGTTTTTTCTTTATTTGGACTTTGACAGTGTCAAACATTTGGGGGTCTAGTTGACTAATGCAAATGTCTATAGTTTTGCATATTTTGACAGTTAATTGAATTATATAAAAAATATATATAATAATAATAGTTTACTTGATAATGTACCTAGCATGTAGCTAATATTATATTTTTTTATGTAAAATACTGCTTATCAACAAACTGTCAAATTATGGAAATTTTTAAAAAAAGGATAACCATTTACTGAAATTAAACACATTACCAGAGATAAAGATTACATTACTACCAACAAAATAAAGAAAAAATAAACTTAAATAATTGTATTTCTACCCCCCATTGAATATAATGGGAGTCACACACTAGCTAGCTGATAGTGTTATCAATTTGTCAAAACATGCATGCTTTTAGACACAACTAACTCCAGCAAGATGGAAATAAGAATTTCTAAATTTTAGGTATAATTTACACTACAAGGGGCAAAAAACATCTCAATGATGCTCTACGTGTTCCATGTCGACACTGGAACCATGATCACATTTGATATGAGGCTAGTGTCTGAAAGGTAAGACAATTTTTTATCTAAAAATAATAAATAAAGCATGGTCATAATGTAACGAGTAATGTAAATTAATAATTTAACAAGAATTAAAATAAACTGACTGTTAAAAGTTAGGTTTATAACTATTTGACAATAAATTTGATGTCATAACCTTATAGTACATTCAATCTGTATTTTGACATCGAACAAATTCCAAACTGGCTGAACTTTGGATATAATATTCCTGACGATCCAAAAGGTGGAATGCCAAGCACCTGTGTTCCCTTCTTTTTGGAAGAAAAAAAATTTATCGTTTTTCCTTGCAGACAATAAAGTTTTTATTTAAAAAATGTAGTTTGAAATTTTTAACGTATTTGAGGAGTATAGTGCAACATTGATTATGGTACTGTATATCAATATACTTTGGTATTTTTAATATTTAAAATTGGTACTCCTGTTCAATGCCTTAATTTTACTTTAACATTTTCATTTAAATGTTAAAATTATAATAAACAATGCTAAAGATAACAAAAAATTTAAAATCAGCAAAAATAAATGTTCCTCTCATATAATTTATCTAAAAAAATACGTTTGGGAGATTTGCCTGATTTCCTTTAGGATCAAATCACAAATGCCAATGTTCAGTTAGGCTTGTGTTGCACTATACACCTTATTTGTTTATAGACAAAACTGTTTGTATTTAGTTACCAAAAAGATAGAGGGCACCAGAGTGAACAAAAATTAGTTTTTGTTTATACTTTGACCCTCTAAAATTGGTTATAACTAAAAATGCTACATTGAAAAGTTGTATATCTCAAAATTATCAATAAAATATTTAAAAAGTGTTAATGAAAATATAACAAAATATTTTTGGCGCCCTCTATATTTTTAGGAACTAAATAAAGTTTTGTCTTTAAACAATTATGTTAAAAAATTAAGCTCTACATTTTTTGTTTAAACTATTTGTCAGACCAATAGGAAACGATATAGAACGATTAAAAAAAAGAGGGGGGAAAGCCCGAGGGAAATCCCTTTAGACCACCAGTAAAAACATCTAAAACCAACCCAATTCAGAATTTGTACCCCCTGATATTTTTACAGATTAACTATATGTAGGTACTATTAAAATTTAAACTAATACTTGCAAAAGTTATAAAAAGGTTTTTTATTGCACAATATTTCTTTTTTTTCATTGAGATCTTTATGACTAAGATTAATTATTAGACATTCTTAAAACTATATTTTATCAGTGGCGGCTGGTGGATTTTGGGTATACCGATATCTCAAATTGAGTTGTGTGGATTGTGGATATACCCAAAATCCAGTTTCTCAATTATTAGATATGGGACCCACACCAAAGTTATGAGTTTATAATGACATTAAATAAACAATATTTGAAATATTTATTTCCAAAGAAATAATAAAAATTTAAAATTGTATTAAATCTGTATAATTTGGATTTTTTAAATGAAATTTGAAATTTGTCGATAAACTATGGTAAATAAAAAATTGCACCAAGTAAATAATATTATATTTATTGGGGGCGCCATGGGGCCGGTACGGCTGGACAAAAGGTTATCTTTTTTTCGCAAACTTCAATTTAAATCCTGCTTGCGCAGAACTTGTTTATATAATGTCATTATAAACTCATATAAATTTGGTGTGGGTTCCATATCTAATAATTGAGATATCAGTATACCCATGTTACATATGTATATGTCAGAATCTTGTATAAGTTATGCCAGGTATATTTAACCCAGTGTATTCCTAAATGCATATAGAAAATTTATTATCATATTTTGTAATACTATCAAAAATATAAAAAGTTACTATAAACAGTGACTTTATAAACTTAAATAAACAAGTTAAATTTGGTAAAAAAAGATCTACTATTTTTTAATATTATATTTGAGAACCTTGCTGCAAAAAGGATGTATCAGTCATTAGTTATTTACAAAAACATTTTTTTCACAATTATTTTAATGAAATTCTCCTTTCTTATTTAAAGAGCCACAAGGTTGGTTAAATAAGAGAAAAGTTGCGTAATTATAAGCCTAATATTAAAGCATTTAAAAATTGAAAAAAATCAGCTGCTCGCAAATAATTGGGAAAAATCTGAAAACTTGTTATTTCTGTGAATTAATAAAAAAAGTAAGTTTCACATGTAAACATACAAACACATTTATCTACATTTTCATCCAATTTGTGATTTTTTTTGCCTACTAGACTTTTAGTTACCACCACCATCTTTTATTTTTCCTATGGCAGCCATATTGGATGGTGGTGATAACTCAAAATATAGTACGGAAGAAATTGTTTGTATGAAATTGTAGTTAAATGTGTATATTTATGTACATGTAAAATTATTTTTTTTTCAAAATTCCTTGGAATAATGATTTTTGGTTTTGACAGGTTAATTTTTAATTTAATTTTTTTTTATTTTGCGAATTAATGTTTTGTTTTCAATTTTTTTTCTCTTATGTGTTGAATAAGCTGATATAAACATATATTAGTTAAACCAAATATTATTAAATAAAACTTCTTTATCTTTACCTCGTAGATTTACTGTTTATAATATCAGCACAGTTAATGTTACGTGCTTGCATATGTTTATGTAAGAATGAAATAGGGCGTGTGTGCTCTAATAATATTTTGTATCACTTTTAGTTTTTAGTCTCCTCTACGCTTGCTTTCCGAGTTGTCTTAGACTGAAGACAATTAAATATTTAAAAGTTAAATTATAATATCTTTTATTTCACTGTCCATATACCTAACAGGTTATGGGCCCAGGATACGTGTAATTTTAAATTATCGCGAAAAGGAATTTTTGAGTTAATAAACTATTGTTATTTGTGAAGTTTGTGAAGTGATAGACAAAAGTGAGAGCTTTGATAGTGACAATGGAAAATTTTAAACTAAAAAGAAACATTAAGCCTTTTAATGGGGAAAAATATAGTATATGGAAGTTTAGATTACGTGGTTTGTTAACAGAACTTAATGTCATAAAGGTGATTGATGAAGATATCCCAGAGGAAGTGACTGACGAATGGATAACAGCAGAGCGTACCGCCAAAAATATTATCGTGGAGTATTTGACAGATTCTTTTCTTAGTTTTGCAAAAAGTGACAATACTGCAAAAGACATTTTCTGTAGTTTAGACCGTATCTATGAACGTAAAAGTCTGGCTACGCAGTTGGCATTGCGAAAGAAATTATTGGGATTGAAATTACAAGCAGATACACTATTACTAAATCATTTTACTATTTTTGATGAACTAATTACCGACTTATTGGCCGCAGGTGCCAAATTAGATGAGACTGACAAGATATCTCATTTATTGCTGACCCTTCCTAAAACTTACGATGGAGTGATTACAGCTATCGAAACATTAACTGAGGATAATTTGACCCTAACTTTTGTTAAAACAAGACTTTTAGATCACGAGGTAAAACTCACCAGTGAAAATCGTGATACAAGTGCAAAAATACTTCAGGTCGATACTGCTTCTACAAGTGCATCATTCTCCAGGAAACGAAACTTTCAAGCCCCTCGTAGATTCAAAAATAATTACCAGCAACGACATTTAAAAGGGCGACACTTTAAACCCGACACCACAAATCATTTATCCTCGGCTATAAAGTGTCATCATTGTGGTAGAAATGGGCACATAAAAAAACAATGTTTTTATTATAAAAAGAGTCTATCTAAAAATAATGAAAGAAATAGAACCATTCAAACAATTCAATTAGAAAAGCCGTCAACATCGAAGGATAATACATCTGGTTTTGCTTTTATGACTGGAGATTTTCAAAATATGGAGGAAGAAAATAATATTACTTTTATCCTGGACTCGGGAGCGTCCGATCATATTGTCAACCGAGATGATATATTCAACAGTTTTGTCGAGCTCCAAACACCAATGAAAATTTCAGTGGCAAAAAGTGGGACTTTTATATCAGCAACCAAAAAGGGCACCATCAAGGTTACAAGTAATATGGGTATCCAGGGAATTCTTGAGGATGTGTTATATTGTCCAGAGGTCCCTTACAATTTGTTGTCCGTAAGAAAAATGCAGCAGGCTGGTATGACTATTATTTTTAATGAAAAAGGTGCTACTATTTACCAAAACAGTAAGCCTGTTATTAAGGGTAAGTTTTTAACCACTTTAATTGCTGCTGAATTTATTGTTAATAGGGATGTAATTAATAGTATTGTGCAAGCACATAGTAGTACAAATATAACTAAAGATTATAAATTGTGGCATGAACGTTTGGGGCATATAAGCAAATTTAAATTTTTAGAATTAAGAAATAAACTTATGGTAAAAGATTTAGGAGAAATCGATAAGGTTACACCTAATGACTATTTATGTGAAGCTTGCATAAGTGGTAAACAAGCACGACTGCCATTCCAAAAACATAAAGATAAAAGGGATATTAAACGACCCTTGTATAGAGTTCATTCTGACGTATGTGGTCCTATCACTCCTTCAACAGTTAATAATAAAAATTATTTTGTTCTTTTTGTTGATGAATATACTCACTATTGTGTTACATATTTAATAACACACAAGTCAGATGTATTTTCTGTATTTAAAGATTTTGTTGCTAAAAGTGAGGCACATTTTAACTTAAAAATTGTTAATTTATATTGTGACAATGGAGGGGAATATTTGGCTACTGAAATGAAAGATTTTTGTGTGCAAAAAGGTATAAGTTATCATTTGACAGTTCCACGAACCCCACAATTAAATGGTGTATCAGAACGAATGGTTAGGACAATTACTGAAAAAGCTCGTTCAATGATTTTTGGTGCCAAGTTAGAAAAATGTTTTTGGGGTGAGGCAGTTTTAACTGCAACATTTTTAATTAATTTAACCCCTACCAAAGCATTAAATGAATTAAAAACACCATATGAAATGTGGCATAATAAAAAGCCGCAAGTAAAATATTTAAAAGTTTTTGGTTCTACTGTTTATGTACATAATAAAACTAGAAAAACAAAATTTGACAATAAATCCTGG